ATTTTCCTGCTATTTATAGGAAGTGTACATGAAAATTGCATCTTTTTTGTTTTTATTTGCATAAAGTAGAGTCTTGTCTTAATATTAAAAGGAAAAATTATGCATTTATTTTTTTGAGAATTTTTTTGGTGAGACTTTTTAATAGGGGGAGGTAACTCCCAAAACATCCGGTTTTCACATGTGCAGAATTGCATGTTTGAAGTAGCAGGTAATGTAGCTCTTTCAAAAGCTGGAAAATGTACCCTAAAAGTACATTAAAAGAAAACCTTAGGACTTGCTCTGTGAAATGCACATAACTCATCTTGTCAGAATTTTGCACTGTTTGTTGGTCAAGGGAGCTAAAAATGCATAGGTGTACTGCAAATGGATGCATAAACTACCTAATATCCCCTATGTTTAATATGTCAAATACCCCCTATTAGTAATTGATCAATGTATTATACTTGGATATTTATAAAATTCAAACATTTATCTTTCCAATGATATACAGAAGTCTATGTAACAAGCCTCCATTTTATTTCTTTATAGGGGTCAGTTTTGCTTGTCCCTCACCAAGTAACTTCCTGATAACGTCATACATTAAACTGTGTTTTGCACCCTTAAGGAGTGGCATTTGATGACATTTTCCTCATTTATTTACCTGTAAGTCATAGAAAATTGCTATATTTGTTTTTTTTAATGTAGTATTAACCATGCAATATAGACTCAGGTTGACATTGTGTCTGGCATAATGCATTAGATACATGTTCCATAGAATTTATACATGTGATATGAATTATGAGTTCTATTTTACTTTATGACACATTTACATTGTGACATCAAAGTGTGACGTCATGTCAAAAATGGAAGATTTGCAAGGTCATGACCTTCAATATAATTGATCGCAAATGAGAATATATACAAGAGATATCATCTGTATATATAGAAATACATGTTACACAGACCTATTGAGTATATTGTTAGGCTGACACCATCCAGACTTTTGAGGCAATTTCTGGATTTAACACAGTGACTATTTCACATTAGATTATTCCCCATTTGTTCACAGAGCAACTAGAAATATGTGTAAAAATAATATTGTTTGGCAGCTTTTTACAAAAAAATATAATGTAACATGTTATTAATATTCAAATACTGTACTTGCATTGTTGGTGTTCTTTTAATTGAATAAAAATAGAATTATTGTGTAAGTTGATTCAGTTAGGGTTGAATTTCTCTTCAAAGTCTTGTTTAATGCGTCGACCAATGTCGTAGACATGTAATACTAAATTGATAATTTCTTGGCTATTTTTGGACCAAATTCAACATTTTATGCACCAAAATGTTTGGAATTTTGTCCTCTTTGCATCTAAATGCAAAAGAGTGAATAACAAAAATGTCTTATTTCCTTTAAGGTAGCTAAATCAGTTTCGTATAAAATCCAGGGGATTTTTCCCAGAGAGAAGCATGCTGGGTAGGGATTTTCCTGCTATTTATAGGAAGTGTACATGAAAATTGCATCTTTTTTTGTTTTTATTTGCATAAAGTAGAGTCTTGTTTTAATATTAAAAGGAAAAATTATGCATTTATTTTTTTGAGAAATTTTTTTTGGTGAGACTTTTTAATAAGTGGAGGTAACTCCCAAAACATCCGGTTTTCACATGTGCAGAATTGCATGTTTGAAGTAGCAGGTAATGTAGCTCTTTCAAAAGCTGGAAAATGTACCCTAAAAGTACATTAAAAGAAAACCTTAGGACTTGCTCTGTGAAATGCACGTAACTCATCTTGTCAGAATTTTGCACTGTTTGTTGGTCAAGGGAGCTAAAAATGCATAGGTGTACTGCAAATGGATGCATAAACTACCTAATATCCCCTATGTTTAATATGTCAAATACCCCCTATTAGTAATTGATCAATGTATTATACTTGGATATTTATAAAATTCAAACTTTTATCTTTCCAATGATATACAGAAGTCTATGTAACAAGCCTCCATTTTATTTCTTTATAGGGGTCAGTTTTTATCTACCTGTGCTGGTGGAAAATTATATTCTGAATAATACACCCGATCTTCCAAGCTGATCGTGTTCCTCGCCGAATTGCAAATAAAATTGCAAATTACGAGCCCCTGATTGTAGGTGGCGCAAGCCTCGTTGACGTTCAACACTTTTCGTTCTTCCAAAATTAGAGAGCGTTGATGCAGATCGAACTTGTTAATTGAAGTATAAAATCTCGTTACTGATGACGGATTACGGTTCGTGGGACCTAAATGCCTTGAGAGGCGAACTAAGAAAACGCAATGCGCGAGTGTCAGGGCGAAAAAGAGAACTCGTGGAAAGGTCTGATTGCTTTTTCATTTTCGTTCGAATTTTCTCAAGTAAAATGTCGATTTTGATTGACAGAATAAAGACCACAACGTAAAACAATAAAGAAATAATTCACTGAAAATTATACTTAATAGTTTATTCCTATATTTGCCCTTGTTAGAGTCATAGAAATCGATAGTGTTAACAATTAGCGAGAAATACACGCATGTAAAGTTAAAATATGAGAAAACTCGGTATACTGTTAAAACTGGCGATTCTTTTCCACTGTAAGTTGTCAATCTTCCAAAATAAACAGAAACTCGAAATTATACTTTAGGAACCCATTTAAATATATCTTAAATATACTTTCATTATGATAGTAATTTTATGACTACTTACTGCTTCTTAACCTAGTCTGTTCATTGAAGTGTAAAGCAGTTTGGTTTTCATTTATATTGCATGTGATGCTTATATTTCATTGTGTGAACCATACCAGTAGCTTAATTGTTAGTTGAGAACTTTTGCATGTGAGGATAAGGTCAGTCTTCACTTATTGCAGCCATTACTTGATATAATCATGATTATACTGTTTTAATTGTACATGCCCCTTGAGGACCCTTGATGGGTGAATAAACATAGAATATTCTATATATTAAATAAAGATTATTAATGTTTCAGACTTGAGGCATATGATAGAAACTATAATTTTGGTGGTGGTGAAAGAGTTGAAAGAGAGTACAGCATGGAAGTACCCAGTTATGAAACATATAAATAAGGTAGGCCTTTCAACTAATTTTTCAAGTTGCACATATGGTAAAAAACATTTGATAGATAGATTTGTAGGTACATGAAATTCTCAGAAAAAGATTATAACCTATACATACCTTTAATTAAATCATAAAAAAAATTAATTATTAATATTTGATTTTTAAGATGTTGTGTTTTAAGGACAGGTAACTCAAGTGTAAAAAACGACCAACAAAGTGCCGATTTTTGAGTTATCGTTTATAGGAATGACATATAGGCTGCTTCAATTGGCATTGTTATGTTCACAAAAGGGTTACTTATATTCTTTGTTACACAAAAGGGTTGACCAAAACAAGGAGAATGTCCTCACTCTATACCTGGAATAACGGGATCAATGAATGGGGAATGGACTTTATTCAAGATTTTTAACTCTCACCGACAGTTGTTATGAAGAAGAAAATATAATGCCATGTTTATTGTGTGTGCATTGTTGTGCTTCATCTATAAAGATATATATTTCTACAATTAAATGCAACAATAAATTATCTAATTCTTTTCACTAAGCACGAAGAAGAACCATTAAGTATAAGAATTTAATCAGGTCAAAATTAAGAAGGGGGATGGACTTCACTTTCTATTTTTATTAAAAATTTCACTTATATACTATTGTACAGTGTCGGTAACTACATGATAAATAAGTTTAACATTTGAGCTAAATTCTAAAACCACTGGATTCCGCTGACAGTGAAGGAACACTTTGGAAATGCTAAAACTTGACATGCTTAAAAACAGTTAGCTTCCTCGGACCCGCTGTAAACAAGTTCCGGTAATGGGTTATCGTTCTTTTCATCGAACTCTAGTGGCAGTTGAAAGGCCTAAATAAGGATACTGTGATCACAAGAATAAGGGAGAAGGCTGTATGTGCAAACTTGGGAAAGATGAACAAAGATATTGATGCAAATGTAAAATACATTTATGAAAGCAAATTTTTAAAGAATGCAAGATTGGCGTGTGATGGACTATTCTTTGTGAAAGCAGAGTGCAAGGCACAGATGAAGAAAGCAGTGTCGTACAAGATTGATGCAAGTTTTGATGTTGATGGGTGTGTTGTTAAATGTCAGTGTGAGTGTACCGTAGGAATGGGTCCAGTAGCAGCATGTAAACATGTGTGTGTGTGCTTTTGTTTGCTCTACAGAAGTTTGGTGAAAGTGGAGATTTGATCACAGAAGAAACTTGCACTCAAAATTTGCAAACATTTCATCATGTTAAACCTTACAAGGGAAGTCCAATTAAAGCTAAAGACCTCCCTTTAGCAAATGATGCCGATGTCATTTATGACCCAAGGCCACATGAGTTTAGGAACATGCCTGGATATCAGGACACTTTTAGAAATGTTTGGTTAAATAATCCATCTGTTAACAAATTACCTGTTTCTCAATTGTTCCCTATTGCAAACACAGTTGGCATTGATTCTGATCATGATTATTTTCAAGAAAAACTTTCAGAAATGTGGCTTAAAAATTCTAACATTACAGAAATATCTTGTGAGGAAATAATGAAATTTGTAAAAAAAAAAAAAAAAAAAAAAAAAAAAAAAAAAAAAACCGTGGCCAAAGCACCAATCCTCTTTGGCAGTCTGAACGGTGCAAAAGAATTCACTCCTCTAATTTTGGTAGAATCTGCAAATGTACAGAAAAAAACTGATTTGAATAAGCTTGCTATTCGTTTGACTAAATACGTCCCACAAATCCATGCCCCATCCATACTTCACGGCAAATGCTATGAGTCAGTAGCCATAAAAAGCTTTGAAGAGAGAAGTGACATAAAAACCCAAAAATGTGGCACACCCATTTCTTGCTGCATCACCAGATGCATTAATTGATGAAAAGTCAATTGTTGAAGTAAAATGTCCATTCACTGCAAAAAATGAACAAATATCTGATGAAACTGTTTCATTTTTGAAGACTGTAAATGGTTCATTAGAACTTGACTCGTCACATGATTACTTTTATCAAATTCAGGGGCAGCTTTTCTGCACAGAGAGAACCAATTGCATTCTTGTGGTGTACACATTCAAAGATCTCAAAATTATTCCTGTGCCAAGAGACCAAAAATTCATTGATAACATGCTTGAAAAATTAGAGTTGTTTTTTGATAAACATTTTAAAAATGCAGTATTGAAAAAATTTTATTATCAAATTTGAGTGTCTTAATAATAAAAGTACTGCCAGAATGTGACACATTTTAATCTTGTTATATGGATAAAGTTTTTGTTTATAATCATTACTGCATTCCTTTACAACACTCTTTCAAATATATATATATATATATATATATATATATATATATATATATATATATATATATATATATATATATATATATATATATATATATATATATATATATAAAATCCAAATTCATCAGTATATTATCAAATTAACAATCAGCACCTCTTTGACTTTTTATAACATGGTTTAAATTAAACAAAAAAAATAGTGTGTAATACTGATATTTAAATGTTCTCTCTGGGCCTCATCAGTCAGGTAAGAGAACACATATTTATA